TGTTCCCTTCTGCAGCCGCGTGGCGCGCGGAATGAATCTTTTGACCATATACTCGTGGACTCTGTTTGCTCGGGAGCAGCCGGCTCTTGCAAACTGATATACGAAAACTCGTACAGCGGCGGTATGACTTTTTTTTTCTCCCTCAAACAGCCCCTCTCACGTGGGTATGTATATATATATATATGGGTGAGACGGTCTGTTGGCCGGAGACGACGTGAAAATTTAAAAAAGTACTAAACAGGTAGATATATCTCTCGGGCGTTTTCATTCAAGTCCCGGATTTTCCAGGGGACCCGCTTCTCCGTTCCCTTACTTAACCGGGGCCGAAAAAGAAAATCGAATCCGATCTAATACCCCGGGATATCGTCCTTCACGCCCGAATCGCAACTTTACCGTCGCCCTTATCTACCCCCCGGGAATAACCGAGCTCCCTCCGACATTGGAAAAATCGCTGCTCCCAGCTCTGGGACGCCCTTAGCCCCCATAATTATCCCTCCACTTACACGCACACCCATATGCACTTTCGGCCAATAGTCGTGCCGGTGTGTCGGGCCGGCCAGCAAAAGGTGTACGGCGTGGCGAGGCAGGAGACGGTGCGCATAAGCTGCGAGCTCGAGGCCAATCCCCGGGAGGTGAGCTTCGCTTGGAAGTTCAACAACACGATGGACGCGATGGACATACCGGCGCGCATGATTACCAGCGAGGGGGCGCGCTCCGTCGTCTCCTACACGCCGACGAGCGAACTGGACTACGGGACGCTCCTGTGCTCCGGCGCCAACGACCAGGGCCTGCAGATCGAGCCCTGCGTCTTTCACGTCGTGCCTGCAGGTTTGCCGTTGTTTTTTCAAGGGCCGCGCACTCCTGGAGCCATTCAAAAAGACTACTCGAGTCGTTCCCTCGGTATTTCTTTTCCCCCGTAGAGTCCCCGAGCTCGTTGAATTCGGCTCCTCGGAGGTGGGGCGAGACGGGGCATACGTGGGGTAGTAAAGCTTACAGTGGAAAGAAAACAATGTTTGCAGGTCGCCCGGACTCCCCGCACAACTGCTCGGTGCAAAACACGACGTCGGACACGTTGCACGTCGAGTGCTGCGAGAGCTTCGACGGTGGCCTCCCACAGAGGTTCACCCTGCTCGTCGAGGTCGAGTCGTCGTCCAAGGCGTCGGTCATCGGGGGCTCGCTCGTCTACAACCTGACCAACAAGCTGCCCTCGTTCAGCATAAGCGGCCTCGATCCCGGCTCCACCTATCAGCTGACCCTCTACGCGAGCAACGCCAAGGGCCGCAGCGAGTCCGTCGCCCTCAGAGCTACGACCCTCAACCAGCCCGAGCGACGCACAGGTGAGTCCATTGGACCCTTTTTTCCGAGCACCCCTCACCTTGTGTCCTCTTTGTTCACGAAAGCTTCTTGGTACATCATCACCGCGTCGTGTGTGCGCGAGACACGTTTCACGGCGTCTCAAGTACATACACATACGTATCACAGGTGTACATATTTATACATATATACATGCATATTACTTTCAAGCCTTACGCACCTCAACGAGCAAAGTGCAGCCCATCTGCCTGAAAATCTTTCCCCGCCAGGCCATTGGTCTCTTTTAACTCAGCGAGCGATCTCGGCTTGATAAATTATTTCTCTTAAAGCCCGGCCGTCGCTCGTGTACATCACCCCCCGTCGCCCATTCAGTCTCGCAGCTATACATATATATACATATACCATGGCACGCATCTCACCCACTGCAAGTACATATTACATGTACATGTACGCACACACGTCTTTCACGCTGATTGTCGTCGCTCTCTGTATTATGTACAGTAGTTACGGGCATTGACGAGCACACCCACCCACACGCGCGCAGTAAGTATACTCACTCTCGATCCATTCTTCTTTCGTGTCCATCACGGGTGTGTACGTCGCGTGTGCACATAATATATACATAGGTGGATATAGGTATAGCATAGATCGATCGATTGATCGATCAGTCGGCCGAACAAACGGTTTACTGCAGCGGCGCACGGTCTGTTTCGCTGTTTCTCCCCCCCCCCCAACCCCCTTATACCTCCTTTTCTCTCATTATCTGCCTGCCGTTCGCTCTGTCTCTCCATATATATACGTGTACAGGACAATCACTTCGACGCTTCATTCTCTACCCCTCTCCAACTGGCAGGGAGTCGAAAGAGGCTGTCTATACATATAGACCGTGGACAAATACATGTATACGTGAGCGAAGCATTTCGCAGACTCGGCAAAGACTATGGAAATCGAATAGGACAGCGATAGAGAGCGAGCGAGGCCATCAGAGATGGGGGGAAATCTCTTTCGCTGATTCTGAGATGCCGGCGCGATTCCTTCTCCATATATACCTGTATATATATATATGATAGAAAAGGGGTGGGGGCGAACGATTGTTCTGGCTTTGTCCCCTCCTCTGGGCTCGATCCTTTTTCGATGATCGATTGGCTTTCTGGGGGGACTTTATTTGTTTACCGCGATTTTTTTTTTTTTTTTTTCGAAAGCTGCACGGTGGTTTTTTGTTGCTAAGGTTTTGCATGTAACTTGGACATTTGGCACTTGACGTGTGTCGGCGATTGAGAAAAATTATTGACCAAGAAAAAATAAAAAGACGGAAGGTTGGGGGTTTAGAGATTTTGCTATGAAAATGCGAAAAAAAAAAAATGATATTAGGTATGGAATACGGATGATTCTACGAGAGGAGGCGCGCGAAAGCTGGGACGAAAAATTAATGAATAATGGAAAAAGGAATAAAGAGCTTTGCGTAAGGGAAAAGCTGGGGATGCCGTAATATCACGTAAAAATGTCAAGTGCTCTAAAAATCTAAGCGCACGACAAGAAAGTTAAAATGGGGCACTTTTAGTGTAGGTGAATGTAATAAAAATATTTCGTAACTAATGACGATGTAATGTATTAATGATAATTTATAAATATTAAAAATTTAAATTGCATCTCAACTACGGATAGCGTGGTAAATTGAAACATGCTGCAAGTACTTATTGTTGAAATTAAGTTACGTAACTTTAATCATAAGCGCGCTATGATTTTAATAATTAAAATATGATTGAAATAAATTTACAAAGATTCATTAGGATCGCGTGCAAGTGATACTTTTTTGTTCTGGACAACAAATAAAAAGCCGCAGCCTCTCGTTTTTATAATGATAAAAGCTCGCGATCCAAAAATATACGTGGATAAACGGTCTTTTACGCGACGTGGCTGTCTTTCGAGGGGTAAATTTTTATTCACTTCCACTGGGGGATGAAAAAAAAAAAAAAAAAAAAAAAAAAAAAAAAAAAAAAAATTTACCTTCGAAAGTTGGTTTAACTAGTGGCCCTAATTGAGCGGGGCGCATAATGTATACGTATACGTGGCGCCATGCGCACACACTGGCCTTTGGCGTGTGGCAAAGAGCTCCGGTANACGATGATTGAAAAAAAAAAAAAAAAAAAAAAAAAAGAGAATCGTTAAAAAAGTAATTCACCTAATCATATTGTAAAAAAATAGTTACTGAGCTTTTGAATAAAACTTTCTTCAGTCCGGTACTTATTTGCGGATCAAAAAAGTCAAGAGTGATTTATTAAATGGTTATACTACCGTACTTAAAACGATTTTTACTTGAAAAATAATATAGCCTTGATTTTATAAACCTCAGTTTTGTAAGTAAACACGCCTTGACATCAAAGATTTTTTTTTTGTAACGAAATTGGTAGTATATATTGAAAATAGAGTTGTGAAGTTTGCAAAAAAATTACAATTTGTACGGAGTAATTGGTAGTTGGAAGAAATTTCTGTAAAATGTCGGAAAATAAGTGAGAAAGGCAAAAAGGTATAAGTTTGTGACTGCAAGCTCGTTTTTTCATTTATTCCATCCAGCTTATCGATTTCCAATAGCACTTTGTATCGGAAAAATTTCGCTAGGTCAATTGTTCGAGCATGTCATTAAATTTTATTTGACTGAAAATTCTTTTACCAATAAACGTCGTGTCGTTATTTGCAAATCAAAAGACGAGAGGGAAACGGCCCGAGTAATGTGAGCCAATGCCAGCACTGCCTTAATTAGATCAGTGGCGCAGCTCTTTGAACTTCAAATACCAAGTAGTTACTGAACTGATCATCTAATAGACATTGACAACTCTGTATCTTACAGGGAGTGCACACTTTACAACATTCCACTACCGTATTATAGTACACGTCAAATAGCGATTTTCTTAGTACATTACGTTTTAGAGGTGTAAGGTGAGATCAGGCAATAACAGTATCGAAACTTTTCTCGTTCACCCTCGTTTTCATTGAAATCTTACACCCGTAAAAATATATAACAATTCGTTTATACATCGGATACTCATGTGATTCGGGTTGCATAAAAGTCTTTTTTTTTTTTTTGTTCACGCTACGCTGGCACGCAAGACAGTGTATCGGATGTCATGCGGTTGCGGTTTACTGCACTGTTGCGCCCAATCATACCCGTCTTATGGCATCATTAAAATATCTTTTTTTTTTTTTCGTTGCCATGCCCTTTTACTCTCACTTTTTCATTTTACTTTTTTTCTACCTCAATGATATTTACTGAAAGATGAGATGAAAAATATGAAAAAATCTCCACTTATTCGTATGACAACCCGTCGAGTTTCAATTGCCGATGAATCCGGCGGTGGGTAAAAAATCTCATGCGATTTGACGCGTCGACAAGCAAACGACACGAAATCCCTGCAACGCGTTGCAAACGAATCGTGAGAAAGTGCAATTTTATTTTAATAAAGTGAAAATGTTGGCTATTGGAGGATGATGAAAAAGTACAAATGCCGAGTGACAAAGGGTTGTCGATATCCGAGAAAAGCTTGGGACAAAAGAAACGCGGAGCTATCATACACGTGAAACGAAGAGCTTAACGTGTCCGTATGATTGAAAAATGTCGAGCAAGGGAGGGGCAAAATATGTATCCTTTTGTTCACTTTTTTTTTCTTTTTTCGATCCATAAAACACAGGAAGACCAGCTCCACGCGTTACCTGGTGGCACGAGAACGCTCTTCTCGACGAGAGCTACGAAGCCGTGGGCCCGAAGAAGGTGCGGAACGTACTGCGCCTCGATAAACTCGAGCGCAAGCATCTCAATGCGGTGCTGACCTGCCAGGCGTCCAACAACGTGCTGGTCACTCCCATATCCAGCTCCGTGTCCATCAACATGAATCGTGAGTACTTATATATACTTTCACTTTTTTGTTTGATTTTTTTTTTTTTTTATATTTTTCTATTGCGAAAAAATGCATTTACTCAGTTTATGTACGAACGCACGCGTGACTCAAGTGGCTCGCTTGCACTGCACGAGCCTGGAGAGGAGACGACTCCGTGGAAATTTCATATTTCTCATTTGCATTTTTTTTACCACCACCGCGCCAGTGGCTCTTCTCTCTCTCTCTCTTGCATTCTTTACTCGGCTACCTTTGCATCTGTATACACGCGGTGTTTCCACGTTGTACAAAAGTTTAAATGAAACGCTAAAGAAATAAAAATGCTGTCATTGTGCCGTGATAAAATATATGAAAATAACATGCCTTTTTTTTTTTAACATGAAAACATTTATAATTGTTCTACAGTGCGAAGCTTTTTTGTAAAAGAGCGTGTTGCTAATCATGACGATTTCGTAGGACGCATTTTACGGTCAAAAACACGTAAGCGAGCCCTGGTATAGGATCTAAATTGGATTCTAAATTAGTCAAGCATTGCCTTCTCTCCAATTCTGTAATTTTCGTAATTTCGCTTTGTTCACCGGTACGTGTCCGGTCTAGTTATTTTTTTCCTCCTCCCCTACCCTCAAAGCGATTCGATTGATCAATGATGATACACCAGGTATATAATATATATTTAGCTCTTATTAAAATAAATCGGTGCAAATCGGTATGGCGGAGGTGGCGCTGTGTATCATCAAGCCATTACTCATCGGGTGAAATTACAAGGGAACCGCTTTAATTGCGCTCTCGTCTACCACTGCTGCTGCTGGTGTATTTTACGACAGTTAAATCTTTCCCGGCGCAGGTGCTCTGTTATACGATAATTCAGCGCTTCGCACAGCCTCCCCGTATATAACATACGCGCGCGCATGGATTGTGTGTATATGTATGTATGCTAATGACGCGGCAATCGTCAAAAATAACAGCTATCAGTTCCAGCTGATGCGTTACGTTTCTCCGGCATTTGCTTGATAATACACCCATATTGTATGCGGGCCATATACGTGGTACACCTATCGAATACCCGTGCACGAGATAAATATCAGATTTAAGCGTCGACGATGTTCCACGGCACTCCGGCACGGCTGAGAGAGGCACCTCGCGAGTTATGAAATAATAAAAATATGACGGAAATGGAGGGCTGATTCGTACATTTGTTGTTGTATTTACCATTGATGGCACTTGGCTTTTGTGATGTTAACAGTGAGGCCGTTGTGGGTGAGACTGCAGGGTAGAAACCGGCCCTTCAGCGCAGGAATGACTTACGAAATCGGATGCGAGGTAGTGGGTGCCAAGCCGACGCCCGAGATCGAGTGGACCAAGGGAGGCGTGACTCTGCACAACGTCAGGCAAACGGTGAGTATATTATTGGGAATAAACGTATAGCCGATCGAGGACGAGCTCTGGAAGCCCCGGAATGACTATGCGGTACTTTTTTTACAGCTGCTGCACGCGATTCCTTTTTTTCAATCATATAGCACCTCGATGACATTTTATCGATTATTAGGAAAAAGCGGAAAACACGAACCATTACGCTCAATTCCGTATAATTTGCGTCGGGGACATCATCGCGCAAACTGCTTGTATCAAAATATAATTCGGTGCTTATTCACACGTTATGTGTCCCGAGCAGCTAAATGCCTCCCCAAAGTGACATTACGGCGAGAGATCGATCATAATCAAACTGATGTACCTACGTCTCCTCTGCCGGTCGCTAAGTGATCCGGGATCCGCTCGTGTGTCGGATGGCATTTAATCAAACCTTCGTGCTATTAGTCGCAAACATGTGTACAATTATATTTTATGCTGCGCGCAAATCAACGGTTATTAAGTCGCAAACTCTCACTTGCGCTTATCAAATCCCTACTTTTCAGTGTACAGTGTATATGTAAGAGGGAGGGTTTTCGCGAATCTCGGGGATATTAATGCCTCCCAAGGTGGAAATTTCTCGTTTGCTGGCTCCAACGTGATCTCCCCCGCGTGGGACTCGACGGGCTAACGTGACCCTTGTTTTTGTGCCTTTCCCTCTTCCCCGTCCTTTTTTTGCTGCCACTGCCACACACATTACACGAGTACACCTACGGCCGTGAATCGGCAAAGAGAACACGTACCCGGTTTTTACCTCGAAAATAACAGGCTTTTTTTTTTTGTTTGCCAGCCCGAGTTGTGATCTCTTGATGCATTTATGTACTTTTACTGCTGCTTTTCGTGAAAAATCAACTGCGGATGTTATCCCTTTTGATGAATAGGCACTCTGGGACAAACGGTCGTGCTCTGCCGATCCTCGGTGGGAGGTGGCATTTTAATTTACACGTTGATGTTTGTCTTTTCTCGAATTTTCAACCCAAGGGTGATTATACTGTCCATGCACTGGACAAAAAAAAAAAAAAAAAAAAATTGTGCATCCAACACGCAAAAAATACGGACTAGCTGCTCATGTATATAATGAAATGCAAATTAAAAAAAGCAGGGATAATGAACGAGAACGGAAAATTCGTGTGTTTTCGGTTGAACATCAAAAGCAGACGAGCCCGGACGGCAACACGACGACCTCGATCCTGACCTTCGTGCCGAGCGTCGAGGACGCGGGCAAGACGCTGTACTGCAGGGGCCGGGTGCCCGTAATCTCCGATTCCGAAATGGGGGACGGCTGGAAGCTCGATATACACCGTAAGTACCTCATTTCCATGTCTGTAGCTGTTTCGGGTAGGTGAATCTTTTTCTTTTTTCATTCGCATCGAACAAAAGTTGTAAAGTAGGGCAAACACGAGCGTTTTATGAGTGTTTTAAAGTAAGGTGTTTTTTTTTTTTTTTTTTTTCAAGTCTAAGGCGCGCTTTCTCCATTGCAAAAACAGAGCGGAAAAACTTTAGAGGCCCCTCGAGCGATGTTATATCCACGGGCCAGCACACGCTGAGCTATCGATCGCTTTTCGTTACTGGACAGGGCACAAATTACACAGGAATACATGGAAATATTGTATAAACAAGCTGGTACAATACATTGTATACGGGTTCTGCGAGTGGATTTAAATTGTCTGCAAATAATAATAGCGCATTTTTCAATGTTTTAACTTTGCTATACGTGAAAGACATTAAATGAATGTCTAAAACATTATTTTCCATATGATTTGGTGTGCTTTTCGTGCTGCCCTGGTAACCCCAATTGGATTTTAAACGCGGCCAAAGCGCCGATAGCCTATAAAAACTATACAAGATGTTGAATTTTTTAAGCTGCGAGAGTAGGCTCTCCGACATCGGGAGCGACCCTCCGTTGTAGTGGAAATTTTAAGCTACCAAAGTAGGCTCTGAATTACTCCATGGGTCAAATCCCAATGGCATCTCCTGCTCAGGTGGGCCCTTTTTCGAGTATGCATTCCACGGCAAATGGCTGTAACCCTGTGTGTGTATACGTATAGCTGTACAGCTTTCGCCTATGCACCTTTGAATTGTCCAGGAGACGTTGAATAATTTATGCTGGTTTACTGCATTGACATGCAAATTCGTGGCTCCCTCTCTTGATCCGACATAGACCTATCGTTGGTATAAGGACAAAGAGGAGGGAGCTGACCGAGTATCTAAAACTTAATCAATGATTTTACGAGTAAAATATGCCACCGTGCATCTTTGATCAACTGTATACAATGCATGCATAGCATGAGCTTAAGGATTTTTCCCAATATTTTTTTTAACTTTTTGAGGACCGTCAAATGTAGTTTTTTTTTCGTGGCGTTACTCATACGTGCAGGTTGATTGATCAGTCATAGATCGCTTTAGTACACACTTATTTGAGATTATTGCATATCTTTGTTTTTTAAACCACCTATATTTTGTCAAGTTAAAGTTTATACTGATTTTGTCCTCGATGGCAATGGCTCTTTTTTCCGTAAATAAAAAGCTCTTAGAAAATCGACTTATAGTCCACAGTTGTGAAACAACTTTGAATATTGACGTTCGTCTGACAGTTTGGACTCGCAAAATTTCTAATTGATCGTTATGTTTTGAAGAGACGGAAGAGTAGCGCACAAGGGCCGTGGAAGGTGAAACAACGTCACGCGCCACGAGCTTAACTTCCGAACTGCATTATACGCAAATTTGCCAGCGCGCACATACGTACACCCATCGCTCGCGAAGTTGACGCGTTTTGGCTTTGCAAACCGGAACTTCCGAAATTTCCCCTACCAACCTCTTGCTCGGGGCTCCTCCTTTTATCTTCGTCTCATCATCTCGCTCTTGCACGCACAACAGGGTAACAGCGTGGCCACGCCAGCGCATAAATTGGATACAACCAAACACAGGCTTGGGAAAGTTGTAATGCCCCCTTGCTCCTCCAATGATTACAGACAAGCCGGTTATCACCTTGGATCTGGGCAGCAACTTGAACGCGAGCGCCATTCGCGAGGGTCTCGACGTCTACTTCGAGTGCAACATCAGGTCAAACCCGTGGGTCTACAGGGTCGCCTGGAAGCACAACGTGAGTATCGATCAACACATACCGCATGCATATATGGTTATACCTACTTTATATCCCCCCGTTTGGCCCTATTTCGACCGCTAAGAGGAAAGAGTCGCCCACACTGCAGGTGATGCTCGATGGACTCTGAAATCGTATTTGTGGGCTTTATTTTGATGGAATTACCTTGTCGCGCTTTTGGTCTCTCAATTAGTAATGAACGAGTGCCCGCAGTTTCGCGGTCTCGGGACCATTAACGATGCATTTTAGGCTCCGGTATTTTCTTTGCCTCTATCTTGCGCCCCCCTTTTTTTGCTTTTTAACCATTTTAAACGTCGTAATGGCCAATCATCAGTTTATTGAATAATTATTTGATTCGAGTGGGATACTTTTACAAGAGGATTTTGATGTTAAAATCGGTGTGGTCATTTTACCGTGGTATTTTATTATTTTGTACAAAATATTTAACCTTTTGCGATGGGGTGATTGGTTGGGTTCTTTTGTGTAAAGTAAATATTCCTCGGCTTGCCTCACTTTTGTGGTTCTTCAATTAACTGAACTTTTATTTATTTTTTTTTTTTTTTGAATTTTTGAAATATTCAACCATTCAATTATTAGCCTATAGTTGATGGAACAGATGGATCTTTTGGAGACGATTTGTTAAGTCAAGAAATTTTACCACGTCCGTATGAACAATAAACTTCGTTTAGGAGGAATAACAATATGAAACCCACACGGTTGGCATTTCGAGTTTCTCGGGCTAAGAGTCGAATAACAATACCGCCAATCACTGAGCCATCGAAGCTCTCCACCGCGAATCTGTATGAATATATATACATTTTCAATCACGTATTCAATAAAGGGGATTTTTTTTTTTTTTCATCCACCAATGCATAAAACATGTATTTATTAGGAGAAAAGCAAACCCCAGAATCGAGCCGATAAAATCAAATCCGAGGCCGGAAAAAAGACGCCTGTGGGCGAAATTTTTTTCGATCCACACTCTCTTTTCCCGGAAAAGAAAGTAACCACAAATTATTCCCAAACGTCGCTCGATGAATACTTTGCACTCCCCGAAACGTTTTTTTTTTTTTTTTTTTTTTCTCTACTTTCCAGCACATGCATCCGCACACCGTCTATATATATACACGTAGTTTCCAACTAACAATCTTGCTCCGTTTCGTTTGTTTATTTGTCCCCAACTCCCACCAAACTACTAGGGCAGGTGGCATTTTAATTTACACGTTGATGTTTGTCTTTTCTCGAATTTTCAACCCAAGGGTGATTATACTGTCCATGCACTGGACAAAAAAAAAAAAAAAAAAAAAAAAAAAAAAAAAAAAAAAAAAAAAAAAAAAAA